GGTCTTTTTTCAATCTCTATGGCTTCTCTGATAATTCTGTGGCTGGGGTTTTCTATAGTGGCTAGGGTTTTGGTGCCATTGAAGTTGATGCTATGACCTGTGGCTTTCATGTGTTGGACTAGTGAGGAAGTGTGTTCCAGCTTTTTTACTGCATTTTTGTGTTCATCCAGGCGGGTACTTATTCTTCTATTGGTCTGTCCAATGTATGTGGCCAGGCATGATGAACAGGGGACTTCGTATATGCCTTGGTTTTCCAGGTCAATTTTATCTTTGGAGTTTCTAAGGATGGCTGCTATTTTTCTGTCTGTTTTGAAGGCAGTCTTGATGTGATGCCTGTGTAGTATATCTTACTGATTTTGTCTGTAGTACCTCTTATGTAGGGCAGGACAGCTGTTCCATAGGTCTGTTCATCTTCTAGGTCTCCATTATGTCTCAGTCTTCTAGGTCTCCATTATGTCTCATTATGTCTCAGAAGACATATTTTATTTATTCTAAAAACTCCTTCCTTGATGGTGTTCATTTAAATCTGATCCTGTGAAAACAGCCATGAATATCCATTATGCCTCACAGAAAGATAGACAGAAGATATCAAAAAGCTGTCAAGGTATTATATTACTTTATAACTACATTGTGAAGTAAAGCCATAATCTGTTGCTGGTTAACAAAGCAGCACTATGAGATTTAAGACACCAATAATAGCTTGGTGGTGCAAGTGCCCTTGATCCTATGCAAATTAAGAGTCTTAACAATGTAGGGATTAAGGGTTCATTTTTAGATTGACTTTTGTTAAATGCATGCATTCACAGAATAGCATCTGTTGTGGAAAATATATGGTTTGAGGCTTTTGAATATATTCAGGAATATATTATTTTTCTGTGGAAAAGAATGTAAAGATAGCTTTATAGATCAAAATGTAGTAGACCATTCCCTGACATATTATTTAAAAAAAATAATGTAAGAAAGACCCACAAAACCCATAACTGACTGAAGATAATGAGATTGAAGATTATAATCATAATAACCAGGGTATTGATGGCCTAACATGCACATTAGGACATACCATAAATCTGGTGGGTTTTTTTTAAAAATCTCAGGAAAGTAATGACATGATCTGAACATGGAAGACATTACCACCAGTGTTTTATCAGATGATCAGGTGTCTGTGAATCACAACCACTCTGTGGTTTCTTTTCAACTTCCTGGTGTTGCCCTCCTCCCTAGTCATTAACACATCAGCTTAGAGGAGACAGTGAATTTTAGTTCTGCCTTAGGCATGAAAGCCAGCTGGGTGACTTTGGGCCAATCTGTTTCTGTCAGCCCAATTTTCATCACAGGATTGTTGATATGGGAAAATAGAAGAAAGAGTATTAGGTATGTTCACCACCTTGAAATATTTAGAAACAGTTATAAAAACAATAAAGGCAGGACAAAAATAATCAAATCTGTCCTCAGTAACGAATGGACCTGAATCAATTTAAGAGGAAGCTTGAATTTTTTTTCTAATGATTTGAAAACCTTTGCCTCTGCCTGGAAAGATTTGCATTTGTCAGTTGTTTGTCAATTGCAGCTATGTTTGATTTTATAGCCTTACCTAGGACACCAGACTTTAACCCAAATTCATCCAGAAATAAAATATTCTATAACTGGGCTACATCCCATACAAATAAACAAGCCAGTAGAATTATTGTGATGTAGTAGTTAGCTATAGAACGAGGGCCAGGAGTCAGGTTTTTAGTCTACTCTTATCCATAAAAACTCACATGATAAAGAAAGTCACTTTCTTTCAGCCTACCCTACTTCACAAGGCTGAAGGTAAAATGAAAGGAGATTACTATATAAGATATTATCAGTTCCTGTGGGAGAGGGGAGAGTTATACATATATATAAATAAATTATATATTAATATACCAGTAAACAATAAGCAAATTTAAAAGTTAACCTTTTGTAGTGGAATGTCTTCTTAATCATCCAGGTCATGGTTTCCCAAAGGTGCTTTTCCAAAAGGCAACTGGACTTTCTTTGTTTTTTGCTTCTGAAAAGTTTTTTGGATGAGAAGCACAATAATTTCCAAAGAAAAAACACCAATAAAGTCCAGTTGCCTGGTGTAAAAGCACCCCTTGGGACTTTTGTAATAAAAGTCTGCATTTCCACCAATGCTCATGAAGAAATAAATCCTATGAATTTCATTGTAAGTACCAGTATATAATCATCTGAAGGGATTATTCTGTAAATGTAAAACTTATTTATATTTATCTTTTTCATTAGGCAATCCCATTATGTATCAATTGATCATGAAGTGATCAGCACAATAATTATTGCTAGATTGGTGGAATTAGATCATCTCAAACAATAGGCAGCTTCATGCAGGAAGTTACATAGGACTTGAGCATCTTTAGGAGATGGGAATGATATTTAGACTAATAGTACATACTATTTTTTCTCATGCACTTTAGACTACACTTGTATCCACTGCAGGTTATGTAAAGTTTTGAAGTAACTGGGCTTAACAAGTCCCCCCAGCCTCACTCTGTGGAGCAGCAAAAGTCAAGACAGCATAAGAGGATCCTTCATGCTTGTTTCGTACATTTTTGTACACCTGAAGAAGAAAGCTAGATGGGTTATAAAAGCAAAGAGATAAGCTTCTGGTCTTCAGCTGTGGGGTTCTACAGCTGTAGAATGTGGGGCAAATTCTCTGATTCTGTAAACAGCAGCCATTTGCATCTTTATCAAAGTTTAGCCTTTCCTACTATAGCTAAGAAACCACACCTATTCTATTCTGAGTTCAAATAAGAGGAATGACTGAGCCCTGATCAAGTTCACAATACTTTTTTTGTACTTCTTTGCTTGTATACAAGGCTTAATTGTTTTGAATTTGATTTATCTGCTCTTAAAAACTGCTTGAGCTTGCTGTCACTGACTCATCCATTTGGAGTGTCACTTAAAAGCTGGATTCTTCTAAGAGGTGATTTGTTAGAAAAATGAAAATGTTCTGTAATACAATCCTTATTATTGCATCTGTTAACTAGGTCTTTTGTTGTTTTCCACACAGTGTGATTTCCATATGCAATAAATGTAATTGCTTCACTTTTCTCATTCCAGAAAAAATGATGTAGCCTGCAGGCCTCATTCCTGGCATGCTACCAAATTCACTGAAAATCGGCTTGAAACAGCTGCGTCAAGACTCTCCTCCACCAATGTCTGTGCTTCATGGCCCTCTCAGTATCATTCAAGGTGAGTTCCTGTTGAAAGTTACAAGCAGCAGGCTCAAAGCAGTAATTGCTTGTCTTATTTTATTCTTAACTTTAAACTGCCAGCAATGTATCATGTTGTCTTGTTGGGCTTATTGTACGAAGCAAGTTCTGTTATATAAAAATAGTAAATTATAGACCTGAGAGTTATTAATTCACAGTATCTTTTCATTATGAAGAATGAAAAATAATACCTGCAAGTTTTGATGGTCAGTGATTTTTTCTTCTTCCCTACAACCAGTACCAAAATGTATAATCATTTCAAATCTGAGCAGTTATTTGTACCTTCCTCCAGCAGCATTTGATGGAAGAAATTGAAATTGCTGGTCCAGGGTAGTTTCTTAAAATTAAACATGTATATTCTTCTCTGGCATCTTTTTAAAGATGATGAGAAATAGGTATTGCATACCATTGCCTTTTTAATAATTGAAAAGTTCACAGTAATAATTATTTCTGTGAAAATTCTTCCAGGACTTAAAAAAGAAGTACCTTAATTAAGGTATAAATCTTTTTTTTCAATTATTCATATTACTATGATTTATTTACAACTAACTAAAAAATCCTTAATATAAAATATTCAAATTTGTAATTAATTTAGAAATATATTTAGCATTATTGACACTATAATGCGATTGGTTAAGCTTATATACTATTAAATAAAATATTTTGTTTCCTAATTTATATTTTAACAACTATCTAAGGATGCAATCATATAGCAATTTAGCTAGAAATAAATCTCTAGGAACTCTGTACAATTTTTTTTCTAAGCATATGTCTATTTTTTTACTGTTTTATTGCATCTTTTTCAGAAATACTATGGAATTCTTTTTGAATGAAACTAATTCACTTGGGAGTTCTATCTGTGCTGATTTTGTAGTAAGACAGAAGTGAGAAAAAACTTTTAAAAACAAAATATCTGACATACTAAGAACTTATCAAACTTTATCTGGAGACAGTGGTCAGTCAAGCAGAGAGTTGATAGATACAATCATGGGGTCGCTGTAGTCTTCACTAAAGCCTTTTTCAATTTTGCAATTTTTTTAAAAATGACAATATGGTTTAATATGCAGCTTTAATAGATAAAATATTTCTGTAGGTAATTGTAATGATGGCTTTGTGTATGTTTGCACTATATTAATGGAGGTCTGTATGTTTTATTTGTTGCAGTTCCTTTGATCTTTCAAACTCATGGAATCAATCAAATCTACATCGTACCTCAGGCCAATTCAGCTCTGTGGGAAGCATGGATATCTGGGATCACACACCCCAAACATATCAGTATGGACAGATTTCCGCTGCAAAGTCCAATAGCAGCATTGATCATCTGGGGAATCCCAGCAAAAGAGATTCTGCATATGGTTCTTTTTCTACTAGCTCCAGTACACCTGATCACACATTGTCCAGTGTAGATGCTCTGTCAACAGAGAACGTAATGTATAAAGTGGGCAACTGGGAAACTCCAAAACAAGGGAATAGCAAAACTGTTTCATTTCTGAGTGATAATGGAAAATCTGAAGAAAAAGTTAACTCCTTTGCAACTCCACCACAATACGAAAACAACCTAAGTTCACGACTAGAAGACCATACTAATTCAGTCTATTCTGGGGCTGGACGATCTAATTTTGTACCTGTATGGTATGTCCCTGAAGAAAAAAAGTCTCCTTCCCCTCCACCTCCCCCACCCCCTCTCCGTAGTGATAGTTTTGCTGCTACCAAAAGTCATGATAGAGATCATGCACCTCCTCTATATTCAGAGGGCATTCAGAGCCCCCAGCATTTTGAAGGCTTACATAGAACACCAATCAGAAATGATTGGAGTGCTGAAACTGCTGAAGAACAAAAGCGAATGATCAGGTCAGTTGAGAAAACCTCACACAGAAGACGAGGAAGCAGCCCAATACAAAGACCTGATTTTATTCCAGATTATGATTTCTCTTCCCCAGGTGACAGAATAAACAATAATATGGAACATGTTAAGAGGCTGCATTCTTCTCTGTCTAGTACCGATGTTCGATTTCCCCAGTCTGTTTATGAGTCTCAGAACCATCAACATCAGCGTCAATATAGTGATGAATATAGTTTCTTTCACAATGCAAAAGCCTCTGCATCATCTAAAGAGCCAAAATGGCTCTCTTCTTATAGTGACATTAGGGAAAGGCCTTCTGATAAACATAACTGTCATCTAAACCAAACCAGGATTCCTAGTAATACCACCACGGCAGTTTCTGACATGAGTTCTGAGGAAAACCCTGGACTAAATCATTATTACTGTGTAAAAGCGAAGCAGCAGCCTGCTCAGGGAACCTCAAAACCTCAAAGAATTGGAACAGGAAATCTTGCTGCTTCTGTGTCAAGTGAGAATCCTGTTATAACCATGAGCCAAAATCCTAAATATTCTCTACCTCAGCATCTTACTGAGCCTTCTCTGCATATATGTGAAAAGAGACCTCACTGTGTAGTTAACAAAGGAGAGGATATTAAAGCTGTTGTACTGGAAGATTCTAGGAAGATAAATTACTCTGAGAAATCAGGTCAGACTTTTGAAGAAAATCTCAGTAGTCATCAAGAATATAAGGATGGGCAGGAGTATTTTCAGGTGTCTGACACTAAAATAGCCCCAAAAGATTTCAAATGGAATCGGGAGAAGAACTATCATATTTCTCCCCAAAAGACCCCAATGTTGCATTCTTTAGCTCAGGAAGAGAAAAGGCAGATTAATGTTGCTGCCGAAATTGGGATTAATAAACAGACAGCATTTGATATTCACCTAAGCAAAAATGCAAGAAGGAGTGATCGTTTTGCTACCACACTGAGAAATGAAATTCAAATGAAGAGAGCAAAACTCCAAAAAAGCAAAAGCACAGCAGCCTTAGTAGAGCCAACTGAGGAAGAGGAGTGTGCTGAGAACTGGAAGCATGATTCTCAAGAAAAGACAGCTCCTTCATCAGAAAGTTGTTATTCTCACATGTACAAAGATAATCTGAAAGAGGCCCAAGCCAGAGTCTTGAAGGCCACTTCTTTTCAGCGCCGAGACTTGGAACCCAACTCTGCAGATTATCTTCCAAACCGAAAGACTAATATATATAATACTTCTCCATTGACTTTAGTTTCTGAAGATGAATTAGGTTTTCCTGAACTTAGGCAGTCTTCTAAAGAGATATCACTGAGTAATGCTGCTCACCAGCTTTCACGTATTGGTGCTAGGAAGAGATTTACTGCAGAACAAAAGTTAAAATCTTATTCTGAACCTGAGAAAATAAATGAAGTGGGTTTGTTGGATGATAACTGCCAAACACACCATCGTCCAACTACATCAGAGGAAGCTTTGGAAACTTTTGCAGATAAATGGAAGTTTTTTGAAGAGACTAGTAAGCCAGTCTATCAAAAATCTTCACAAAGATGTGCATCCTACTTTCATTCAGAAGCAGAGTCTGCTACTCCTCGTAGAAATTCTAATGAAATTGAATCTGGAGGATCATGCTACAAAAAAAGAATGCGGTCAGCTTCTTTTGGAGTTGAGAATGTGCTTTGTGCGTCTGATACACCTAATGAAACTGTACGTTACAGTGGCCATATTGCTAAATCAAGACAACCTCAGAGGTTAGAAACATTTGCAGAATACCAGGCATCTTGGAAAGAACAGAGAAAACATATAGAAAACTGTAGTTCTGGAAAGTACCATTCAGCTGATAATATCCTTGATGCTGGCCTTGAACAACTTGAGAAGTCTCAGTATAAACATGAACGGTCCAGGTCATCTCCTTCTACTGATTTTTACAAGCAGGTAAACACATTTTACTACATTTTATTTAAAAGCAATGAAAAATAAATGTGTGTGTACATAGATACACAAATAGATAAATAGATATAGTTAGATACACGCACAAAACACACACACACACACACACACACACACACACACCCCTGATACACTGATAAGAGCAATTTCAGGCAACCCTGTTAAAGTATACAGTTCAATGAATCCTTACATGAACAGAAACTGACTCAACCTTTGCAGAAAAAAGCAAAAAATGCTAATTATACTTTTCTGCAAACATGAATGCATACTTACTATAGTATTTGTTTAGTTGTATATAGTATTCAATTAAAAATTGAAAATATGACAGATGTTGATCTATAGACATCTTTTCAGTCAGTACTTTGTATTATTAGTAGTAATTAGAGCTTCCAAAAACTATAATTGCTTTTTTTTGGAGGGGAGGGGGGTTTGGACTGATTTTTTCCTATCTCTCTTGCAGAAGTCAGAAATTTTCTTAGGATTCCTTGCCTGCCACTGCATGTTTGAGTTCTCCGTGGAGCTGCTGCGAGCATCCAGACAGTGGGAGGTGCTCCAGTCTTCACTCTAACAGGCTGAGCTATAATTGAGGAACGCCCCTCCTCCTCCACGTGACTCCTCCATGCGTTCCCCCAGTTTTAGCTCAGCCTCGCTAGAGACAGGCAGCTTGTTCGTTTATTCCTTGGCCGATCCAGGTTCCTTTCGCTTTTTTCTGCAATTCAGGTTTGATCTCTCCTTTCTCCTTGTTCCCTGCGCTTTTAGTTTTCGTCCCAAATTTAGTTTAAGAGCTTTTTCGCTCCTTAAGGGGGGAAATAGGGGGTTTGGAGCCCTTTGCCCCCCCTACCTCCCCTTCCTCTGCCGTTGTTTTCTAGCCGCGCTACAGCTGAAAAGCGGCTTGAGATCACGCTATAGATAGCGCTGCGTTGCGCCTTCCCCCCACGAACGCTTAGAAGAAGGGAGCTTCTTCTTTCAACCCTCGTGTCTCTTTCTGCCTTTTTTTCCAGCCGTTGGTGGATTTCAGAGGGTTTGGGTGTCTCTGGGGTAGTCACGCCGGAGCCGGCGGCCATTTTGAGGGCGCCTCGTGGCCGGCCACCATTTTGAATTTCGTATCTTTCCGATCGGGCTGCGAGGCTTCTACAGGCCCATAGCGGGACCGACAGGCCGTGTGGAGCCCGGATTTGGAGGGTAGAGTGGTTCAGTGCCCGGTTACCCTTTGCATTGCTATTATTGTTGGCTTTTCTGTTCTTGCCCGCAGCTCGCCCAGAGACTCAGGCACTCACTTCCCATTTTTGTTGGGAGGCTGCCTCAGGAGGCCCACCTTTTTTTGCCCTTTGTTGGTTATTCTAATTCATATTTTTTTCCTTTTTCCTGGCCTCTGCGTTCATTTGGTGGATTGGTTATTTAGGTTTTTTAACTCCAAATTTATTTCCCTTCTTCTTACTAAGATAAGTTGAAGGTACATTATTGTTTTATTTCTGTTCCTTGGCTGGACTTGATTGGCATTTTTTTGGGCCCCGCCCATCAAAAAATAAAATAAAAAATAAAATAAAATAAAAATAAAAGGGGGACGCGGCCCAACTATAGGAAAGCCGGCCTACGTTGTAGGTCGAACTCCCAGGCGTGCCAACCGCCTTTTTCCTTATTGTCAAAAATCTTTTTTGTGTCATGGCAGAAGGCAATCCTAGTGGCTCTTCTTTGAAGGCAAAGTCTAAGATGCACTATCTGCGCAAAAGGGACAAGGACTCCTCCAAAGCCTCTCAAATGGATGCCTTAAGGCGTCATAAGGCCTTGGAGAAGGAGTTTGACAAACGATCTAAAGACTCACATTCTGCACATCCTGCCCTGCCCTCTGCTTCTACTCAACCCCCTCCCCTTTCAGGTCAACCTTCTCTTTCCAGATGCTCACCTGCACGTAGCCACCAGACTTCTCTCACGCCAGAGGCGACTTTCACACCAACTGCAGCGGGCCTACGTCCAGAAGACCCGCCTTCAACCATTATCCCGGACAGCATTTTAGAGTGGATGCAACTGGCCATCAGACAAGGGATAGCAGAGGGTATCCAGCAGTTGGCCAGACCAGGTTCCCAAACGATGGCACCCGAGGCCGAATCGATGTCCGGACGATCGATCTCCAGGCCGGCTTCACATCACGGTCAGGTACCTTCCCAAGTGGAAGCCCCCTTCCCGGAAGGGGAGATGAGCCAGGAAGAGGAAGAAATGGGGTTTGAACCCTTCAGGGAAGAGGAAGGTTCAGACAGGGGGTCGATCCAATATTCAGGACCATTCTTCGAGGTAGACCCCATGGAAGGGGAGATGTCCGAGGACGAGGGCATTTCCCCTGACCAGCCAGTATTCGTAGGCCTATTTAAACCTCACTTGTTTAAGTCCTTGTTATTCAAGGCAAAGAATGTCTCGGGCCTGGCTTCCCAGTCTCCTTCTGAACCATCACCAGCGATCCCGGGGGGACCAGAAGACTCAGTTTTCAGACAGCCGGTCATCAAAACCGAGGTCATTCCAACTCCCCCAATTTTTTCCGATTTGGTTGCAAGACAATGGGCCTCTGCGGGCCCCCCTCCTGGTCCTTCCAGTCAAGACAAGAGATTGTTTAATCTCGACTTGGAGTTTTCTAACATGCTAAACACTCCGGAGGTAGACGATCCCATAGTGAGACTAGCATCCTCATCCAACCCCACCGACGCTTTAGAAGCGCTGAATCCGGAGGATAAGCGAGCTGAGATGGCTCTGCGACGAGCGCACCAGTCGGATGCTTGGGCCATCCGGTCGGCCACAGCCGCGTCATTTTTCACCCGATCTATCAGGTGGCTCAGGCAGTTAAAACAGCATGTCCCCCCATCAAACACTAGAGCGCATCAGGACATTGCAAAACTCACGGCCGCAGCAGAGTTCGCGGCCGATGCCACTTTTCATTCCGTGAAATTTTCCGCTAGGGCCATCTCCTCGCACGTTTCTGCCCGTAGGCTACTCTGGCTTCGGCACTGGCAGGCCGATGTCAAGAATAAAGCCAAATTGGCCTCAGCTCCTATAACAGGGGGAAAATTGTTTGGCCCAGCACTTGAGCCGTTGCTGATGGAGAGCCGGAATAAGAAGAAGTTCCTCCCATCGCTTTTTCAAAGGCAAGAGTCTAGAGGGTCTCAGTCCTTTCGGAGGGGCTCCTTTCAATCTTCATTTCCACCGGCTTTCACCCCTAGGTATCAGGGCTCCCCGATGTTCCGGTCGACCTATCAGGACCGGAGCGACTCGGGGGATAGAAATAGAAGGGGAGGCTCCTACAGGAGACCCTTCCGGGGCACTGCGAATAAAGCTCCCCGCCGTCCCAGGTAGCCCTTCAATTTCTTATCCCATTGGCGGTCGCCTTAAGTACTTTGCCGACCAGTGGGACTTATCCACGTCAGATTCCTGGGTTAGGGACACTGTAAGGTTTGGTCTCCCTCTCCAGTTTCAGTCGGCTCCCCCGGAGCACTTTATGGTTTCTCCCCTTTCCAGAGACCCAACTAAGCGGGCTCTCATGGCGGCCGCTATCACTCATCTTTCCGATATCAAGGCCATCCAGCCCGTGCCTTTGTCACAGCGGGGAGGGGGGTTCTATTCCCTCCTCTTTTTGGTCCCGAAGCATTCCGGGGGTTGGAGACCCATTTTAGATCTAAAGAGGCTCAATCGCTATGTTGTTCATCACAAATTCAAAATGCATACACTTCAGTCAATCTTACAGGGTACTAGGAAGGGAGACTGGCTCACTTCCATCGATCTCTCTGAGGCTTATCTCCATATACCCATTCACCCCTCGTATTCCAAGTATCTGAAATTTTGTTATAACAATCAACACTTCCAGTACGTGGCACTTCCTTTCGGTCTCGTTTCGGCCCCGAGGACCTTCACCAAGGTGTTGGCGGCCCTGGCGGCGTACCTTAGACACGTCCCTATTCGCATTCATTGCTACCTTGACAATATTCTTATTCTGTCTCCTACCCGACATCAGGCTGAGAGTGACACTAAGACTACCCTCTCAGTGCTTCAGGCTCACGAATTCCTCGTTAACTGGGAGAAGAGCCAGCTTAACCCTTCCACCCGTATAGCGCACCTAGGAGCTGTGATTGATTCGGTTCAAGGGAGGGTATTCCTCTCTCAAGAGAGGTTCACCAGTATACAAAAAGCTATCAAGACAATCAGGCAGACTAGAAGGGCCTTGTTACTGAACCTATCCAAGTTGCTTGGAAAGTTGGTCTCCTGTATATCAATTATTCCCTGGGCACGTTTACATTCCAGATCCCTGCAGTGGTTCCTCCTGCCTTACCAACGTTCTGGAAGGAGCAACTCAGGTCTCGTGGTGAAGGTCCCCCCAAGGGTTCTCGCCTCGCTTCTCTGGTGGACAAGACCATCTACCAACCGAGGTCATCTCTTCAAGGAGCCCCAGAGGGTCACTCTCACAACAGACGCCAGCCTTTACGGATGGGGAGCCCACATGCAGTCGCTTTCAGCCCAGGGAACTTGGTCAGCAACCGAACGACGCAGCATCAACTGGCTGGAGCTGCACGCAGTATATCTGGCTCTGCGTGCCTTCCTCCCCCAGGTACGGGGCCGTCACATTCTGGTTTTAACAGACAACACTACCACCAAAGCCCACATCAACCGTCAAGGGGGCACTCATTCCATTCGTCTCATGAGGGAGGCCAAGCGAATCTGTCGATGGGCAGAGAGACATCTCTTATCCATCAGGGCAGAGCACATCTCGGGGGTCTCGAATGTCCAAGCAGACTGGCTGAGCAGGGCCACGCTGGACCAATCGGAATGGCGCCTTCACCCCTCCTTGTTCAGGGAGGCAGCAGCGAGGTTCGGTCAGCCCTTGGTGGACCTGTTCTTATCTCCTCTCAACGCCCAGACACCGAGGTTCTTCTCTCATCCTGCCGACGGCGCAGAGAACCACGATGCCCTGCGTTGCCCCTGGCCCACCGGGCTTCTATACGCCTTCCCTCCCCTCCCGCTGATACCCAAGGTGATTCAGAAATTGATCCTCGAACGGGCGGAGGTCTTCCTGATAGCCCCGTTTTGGCCCAGGAGACCGTGGTTTGCGGATCTTCGCAATCTGTCAGTGGCCCCGCCGTGGAGGATCCCCCTCGACAGGATCTCTCTGTCCCAGGGACCTCTTCAACATTCAGACCCGCAGTGGCTTCAGCTAGCTGTCTGGAGGTTGAGCGGGAAAGGCTAAAAGATGAGGGCTTGTCGGCCCAGGTCATCAATACCATCTTGGCAGCAAGGCGGCCTTTGACTACCCGCATTTATGACGCAACCTGGAACATCTTTTGTAGGTGGTGCCATAAGTCGTCCATTGATCCGCTCTCGCCTTCAGTCGCCCAACTCCTAGCCTTCCTACAGGCCGGGCTAGATAGGGGTCTCTCCCCCAAAACTCTGAGAAGGCAGGTCGCAGCCCTGTCCATGGTGATCGCTAGCAGCTCTTCTGGCTCACTCTCCCACCACCCTCGCATAAGGTCTTTCCTTAGAGGGGCTTCCAATCTGCACCCTCCGGTGATCCACAGATATCCTACCTGGGATCTTAATAAAGTTCTTATGGCATTAACTAAACCTCCCTTCAAGCCTCTCAGGGAGGCGCCACTTCAGTTCCTCACGCTCAAAGTGGTGTTCCTTGTGGCGATAACATCGGCAAGAAGGATATCTGAAATAGCAGCTCTATCCGTGAGAAAGGACTTATGTGTCTTCCACACTGATCGGGTGGTCCTGAGACCAGACCCCGCCTTTATGCCTAAAATCAACTCGGCTTTTCACAGATCCCAGGAATTGATTCTGCCTAATTTTTGCCCCAAGCCTTCTCGAGAAAGGGAAAGGCAGTGGCACACTCTTGATGTGCGAAGGGCTCTTCGTATTTACATCTACCGTACACAATCAATCAGAAAATCAGAGTCCTTATTCCTGTCTTTTCAGCCAAAGACGCTGGGCTGCAAGGTTTCCCCGTCTACTGTTGGCCGCTGGATTAGGGCTACTATATCTGGCACAGGCTCTTCCTGTCCCTAGTGGCATCACCGCTCACTCTACAAGGAGTGCGGCCACCTCGGCTGCCTGGGCTACTCAGGCGTCAATTCAGGATATATGTCAAGCAGCTACCTGGGCGTCTCCATCTCCATTCATACGCCACTATAAAATCGATGCTTACGCCTCAGCTGAGGCTTCCTTTGGCAGGCGAGTCCTTCAACAGGTGGCAAAAGATCCAGAGATGATTCCGGACCAGACGGAGTCCCTCCCATAGGACAAGCCAGGCTTTGGTATGTCCCACTGTCTGGATGCTCGCAGCAGCTCCACGGAGAATGGGCGTTGGTACCTACCTGATACGCCCGTTCTCGTAGAGCTGCGTAGAGCATCCAGCCCCACTCTAATTGGTCCGTCTGGGGGGGGGGAGTCCTGTTTCGGCCAATGATGTATATAGTTCATAGTTGAGACTTGTATTATAGTTGACATGAGAGGATAGCTATTGTCTTCTTGTCTTCGAAAAACTGGGGGAACGCATGGAAGAGTCACGTGGAGGAGGAGGAGCGTTCCTCAATTATAGCTCAGCCTGTTAGAGTGAAGACTGGAGTTCAGTAATCTTATAGTCTGAAGATAAGAGGGCTGTTCCAAACCTTTGACTTTTCTTTCATGTAATGCTTCATAATTATCTTCATGAAGTACCCAATCTCTTTTCAGTTTTAATTACTTCAACTTCTGGATATTAGTTTGAAACCAAGAAAAATCTCCACCAGAATCAGAGATTCAAAAGTGGTTAGGTCTGCAAAACAGTATTTATAGATCACTTCAAATGACCTTCCAAAAATTTAGCTAATATTTGTTCAACTTCTGGTAAAACATTGCTTACTGAACAACAAAAATGTATGTATGTAAAGTTATCAGGAGGAAATGTTTTCTATGATTCTATAATTTATTTGTAGAAAAACAATATCTTGCCAGCTGGTAAAAAGAGAAGAGGGTTTACTTATACTTTGTGGTTGTATGACAGACAATAGTACAGGAAATTCTGAATGGGTGAAGGGAAGAATGGATTTGGCTAAATACCAATAAAACCTGCTCTTGTTTTAAAAGACCTTGAAAACCTGCTTCAGGGTAAAGGATTGGATTGTATGGATTTGATTCATTTTATTCCTATCCAGATTTGTTTTCCTTGTGTTTTTGTTATGGTCATCCTTCTTATCTTTATTTCTCATTTTTGTCTGCTGTATTTTTCCTTATTTTAAATATTTCCATTTATTGCTACTCAGAATAGTTCAAAATTGGACCACATGTAAATTTAAAAACAAAGAAGTAAATAATGTCCAGTCAGTGAAGAAACTGAATCTGAAAAGAGAATGCTTCAGGAAGATAATGATCCAAAACATAATTTGTTTCTCACATACCTATTTAAAATGCCAACTACAAATATCCTGCATCATATGTGGTTAACCCCACAGTCTCTGTTGTGTTGCTTTTTCTCTTACATTCTGTACATACTTAGCCTTTAGCATTTCTACATCATTCATTTCTTCCATCCACTGTTATTTTTTCCATAATTCAGCCCAATCTCTAGACTTGACATTGTTTCTTAATTAAGAGGGGAGTTTATTATTTTGTTACTTTAAAAAAACATTGAAAATATACAACCTGAAACATTCATTTAAATGTTGGGTTAATTCCTGAAATCTCTGTAATCTACAAGGGATTCTATCTCCATATATGGTACCAATTCCATATATGTCACCAATATACAAAAATAGGGAGGGGAATTTTCCCAACTCAGTTGTGAGGAGCTTTATGGATTATCTGAGAGTCATGTTGGGAGCCAGAAGAGGTTAAGTCTAATATAACTATATTGTTCCATTTAAAAATGCCATGTTTATATATTAGTATTCCCATTTAAAATAAGTATGGAATTGCACATTATTAAATACATGAACCCCTTATCAGATGACACATTAATATGTGATCATATGGATGGATATGGATGTGGAATAGAGAATTAAAGATTAGATAACAATGAAGAAACAATTATGTGTAAAGTTTAAGATAAGCTAAATATTCATTGCAACAGTTATTGGCCATCTGGAATGTTATCATTGTTCTATAAATAAAATTTTAAAGCAGATTTATAATATATGAAGAAGTTGATGCCTACTGCAAATTATTATAAATTGATCATGGGGGATATAATAAAAAAGCATTTAGTAATCCCTTGGCATTGTGCTACTGTTTTAACATGACTGTAGATTCACATTGCAAAAGTTGCTTTGCAATTTATCAATAAACAAGTGCTGTTTTTTATGTGAGCTTTTTGTACATTTATTGTAAACAATATGTACATGGAAAAAGGACATTCTAATGGCATAGTCTATCACATTGGAAATGACCCTACAAATGAGCCTACTATGCTATGAGTAAAGGAAATTGTAAAGGAAATTTATTGTAAAGGAAATTCTCAATAAACCACATTGTAATGGATGGAGCTTGGATCTTCTTCAACACATATTTCCTTATGTTTACAGCCATATATTGCGTGATCAGTTATTGTTTAATGCTGTTTCAACTTGCTATTAGTTGTTTTCTACTTATTTGAAGGGAGATTTCATTTTCAGTACTTGTAAAAGTATGAGAAATCTATATTAGCTGGAAGCCACAGGTAAAAAGAGATGAATACTTTTTCTTCTGACTATGCCCTGCAGTAAATTATACACAAATGGGTGCCATTTCAGTTTATTTTGTCAATATATTAGATTGTCAAGGTATCAAAGCTATAGTTTAGATCCTGAGTGTACAGCAGGGAGTGTTCAACCTTGGCAACTTTAAGACTTCTGGACCTCAACTCCCATGCTGGCTGAGAAATTCTGGGAGTTGAAATCCACAAATCTTAAAGTTGCCAAAGCTGGACACCCTTGCTCTAGAGATTATATCAATCATCTTCAATCTAATGCTTCCAGGTGTATTAACATTTCAATTTTCATAATCCCCAGCTATTCTTTATGCTGTCAGAGAAAATATGGAACTTGAAATTGAAAATATCTGAAGAGGAAAGAATTCATTGGAGAAATGATAGATAGATAGATAGATAGATAGATAGATAGATAGATAGATAGATAGATAGATAGATATAATTTCACAGGTACAAATAACTATGTTAAAGCTTTACTCTTTTGTAAAAAAATCTTGTTTATGTTGCATATTAAATACAGCACCATAATCAATAGTTTTTCAGTGTCCTTATTTAAGTTTTTCCCAAACAGAATTGCAAATGATTATAGTTCTTCCTTTTAACTGGTTGGGATGAATTAGTAACTTGAATAAAAAGTTTGTGAAACTAAGATGTTACATTTGGTTTGAGCTAAATCAGCAGAAGGCGGGATACTTTGTGGACTTCAGGCAAATCCACAAATGAAGGGGTGTGTAATAATATGTTTAAGGAAACTGAAACTTGATGATTTGTTGTGTTACCATATTATAAAACTGTGTTTTCAGGAAACATCAACAGAAGCAAAGAGGCATACTGAAAAATCCAGGAAAGATGAAAAGCTTATTTCCTCCGTTGCAAAATCAGATGAAAGCAGCTGCAATTTGAGGTAAACAAGGGGATTTTTCTTGACGTCTTAATAGCATATATTGCAGAAAATACTTAGTCAGATATTTTCTGGGAAGAACAGAAGCTGTTGAATCTATTTTTATATTCCTTAATTTGTAAAATATGCTTCTAAAAGAAAATAAATGTTGAAAATTAAGTATATATATTCTATTTTGATGTTATAGAAATATTTAAATAATTGTGTTGTTACTAGTAGAGAAAATATTTAAAATATTTGATATCTTAAATAAGCAAATTGTTTTTCTTACTAAAATTAAGCTGAATAATTTCTGTCAAAAATAATCATTCAAATCTATTTTTATGGAGAAATTAAGCACATTTTGGAAATCAATGGTCCTTGATAAAAGTATTTAGATTTTCTGAGGAGCCCACTTTTATGTAATAATGTATTTCAAAATTGTTGTTCCTGTTGCTTAGTACGAAAGCTATTTTAAACCAGAGAATTGTGTTTGTGTTTTAATAGTATGTTAAATTTCTGCTCTCTAAAAACCGAAGTGAAACTTTCAATCTTCTCCTTGTGGCCTGCCAGAGAAGGAGAAAGAAAAAAATAGGGTTGCACAAAGCAACATGGCTGAGATTTATTCAGACAAATGAAGCTTCTGTATGTTTGAACTTGCCACCAAGTATTCTGTTTATTTGAATAGTGCTAGCATCTTACTGTGTACCACATTACTTTTGTAAAGCTTAATAATCACAATTGACAAACAAGACAACAAACAGTGAAAGATTCTGAAAATGGATGGCCAAATTACAAGGAGAGAAACATAATTGAAGGCTCCACTGTTTTACAATAAATATACAACTGCATGAATGAAAGTAGTACCCTCCTTTCATTCATGCAGTTGTATATTTATTGTAAAATAAACATCTCACTGGCATCTCTTTTACATGTATTATAGTAGTGCTTTACTTCATAATCAATAGGCATAAGGAAGTTTTTTTAAGATGTGAGCATGATGCAAATGCTGTATAGCATTGTAAGTGGGAGAGAAGCAGTTATTTAATAAGTATTTATTTAAATGTCTCACAACTGAATTGCGGACTCCCAACTACTGCTGTGTTGTAGATGTTATTGCTGTTATTGTTACCAGCACGCTTGTAGAGCTCTGCTGGAAAACAAAGTTTTAACTGTTTTAGAAATGATTTTAGAATAAATCATAAGTTCAATCTTTCATAGTTGTATATGGTTAATTTGCTACAATATATATACACATACACACACACACACACCTTTCTGGAGGACTTTGAACCATATGGTGTATCCTCTTAAAAAGTGATTGAAGCCTGGGAAACAGGCTCCTCATCACAGGAATGCTGATTTACTTAGAAGGTGAGGACTGGGCAGCACAAGCCAAAGATAGCCAAGGACTTAAAGGCAAGCCATCAACACACCCCAAGCAGCATCTAAAAAGACACATACTACAGGCATCATACACACACAGAACACTGCTAGACAGAAGTTCCCTGAAGATGGGCTCCAACACCAGTCCCGAAGCTTGGAAGACAAAACCTCTAGTCACAGTGACCGACCCAGATGGAATCCTGCTTCTTAAAAACTCTTTATGTTTAATTATTTAATTAATAATTTAATAATTGAATTGTTCCTAACCATTCAGGATTAGAAACATTGCTTTCTTTTTGAATTTCCCTCAACCCGCACCAGGCAACGGACTGCGGATTGAGAATCCCTGGTTTACAGTACTGTTGAATTATGCTGCTTTTAAAGTTTCAACTAGGAAGAAGCCAATTTGGGTAGGAGTGTTAGGTGTTGTGTGATACATGCAGTACCAATGACACACAGTCATAATATAAAAAGTTTATTTTTCTATTTTTGATAGATTTACAATTCATTCTAATATTAGAATGCTAGCAATGAACAATCACAATAACCTGTAAGAAAACACAAATTCTTAATAAATGGCCATGCTAACTGGGATTGCTGAGAATAGTAGTTCAACAATATTAGAGGATGATTTATATATAAAGCATGACATGTTTTGTTGATAATCAAAACTAAAAGAGTCTTTATAAACTCCTTTACTAAGTATTCCAGGATTCTTCTGGAGGAATCAGTATGTATATAATTGTTGTCACGTGCTTTTTATTAGCATTATTTGTTATCTAGGAACTTGTACCCTTAGACACATTATAAAAGTTGAAAGTTTTCCTTTCCTGTACAATTAAAAAACATAGTAATGCCAAATCTAAGCACAAAAAGCATTAGAACAAATCAGCTTTGTAGAAGAATATTTTGTTATTTTTAATATTCCATAAATACAGGTAGTCCTTGATTTATGATCACAACTGGGACCAGAATTTCCATTGCGAAGCAAGGCAGTTGTTAAGTGAGCTGTAACCAGTTTACAACATTTTTTGCCATGGTTGTAAAGCAGATCACTGCAAGTTGTTCAGTGAACCACACAGCCATTAAGTAAAACCAGCTTCCCACATTGACTTTGCTTGTTGAAAAGGCACTGAGAAAGTCACAAATGACATTCACATGACCCCAGAACACTGTAACTATTGTAAACACATGCCAATTGCCAAGCAGTCTAATTTTTATCATGTGACCATAGGGAGGCTGTGATGGTTGCAAGCATGAAGAACAGTTTTAAATACTTTTTTTTCACTGCATTGTATCTTTGGTCAATAAATGGATAGTTGTAAGTGAATAAATATTTTCTGTAGAAATATTTATAATGTTAAATGTGACAATAAAGACAGTTAAGAATACATGGGTACTCTATACAAATTACATTTTAAAAATAAAATAAAATATTGCAGTACAGTAATTATTTTTCATTGACACATTTTCCCTGTTTCTCTCTTTGGATCACAATACAGTCTTTGTATGTGGCTCCTTGATGAGATCATGGTCTCCTTTGATGTAGTAGCCCTATTTACATCCATCCTCCCCACCCCCAAACTAGCATATGAAGTAATAGGTTTAAAAAAAATAGAATAAAACACAGATCAGAATAACTAACCAGGACACAAATCATGAAGCTACTCCAATACTTTCTTCACATTCAAAGGGGCATGAGCAAATAAAACGGACACCGATGGGATCCCAATATCAGGTGTTATTGCAGAAATTATCTTGTGCGAACTAGAACAGTCTGCATTTCAAACTACAGGTCTACACTTTGGTGCCGCTACGTGGACGACACATTTGTCATCAAAATTAATGCACTGAAAGACTCCTATAGTGTTCTGACACAAGAGTTGTGTCACTAGCACCCAGCAAGCTAAACAACTGAAGAGAAGGTACCTTCCTTCAAGCATAATAGGTACCCACAAGTATTTATTACAGGATGCTGGCGCAGAATGCAAAGGAAGAAAAAGTCTGTAGAGATTCTGAGTCATCCAGGTCATGGTTGTCCCAAAGGTGCTTTTTCAAGAGGCAACTGGACTTTCTTGCTTTTTCTTTTGAAGACGTTTCACTTCTCATCCAAGAATGTTCTTCAGCTCTGACAGGGCAGTGGGGAATAGAAGGATTTATATTCCTTGCAGACAGCTGGTAATCTGCATCCTTTTAGAGGGTTGTTGAAGCACTAGGAGGTTTATCTGTGTCCTCAGGGTCACCTGAGTAGTGCTGGTTCCTGTAATCTGCAGTTTTCCCTCTGGAAATCCATACATCAAAAACATTTTGGGGGCAGTAGAACTCATCTTTTGAGATCTGCAAGTGGGCATTGCGCAGTTCCCAGAGCTACCATATGAGGACAAATTATGCATTGTAAAGATCACTTGGAGGTGGGAGATACTTCCAATGTTATCTACCAGATCCCCTGCATGGATTGCCCTGTAACTGTGTAGAACAAACAGGTTTCCAGTTGAGCAAAACAAATATTCTTTATTATCTGCTTCTACTACACTACATCCCATGGCATTTGCTCAATTTCACTGCTATTTCCATGAGAAAGACAACATAACACACAATGCTTGGATTTTTAATACTGTTCTTATCCCAGAATGCAGGCTCAACCTGCTGAGTCAGATCATTCATTTGTCCGGTCATTACATTGTTACTTCTAATTTCCCCTATAGCTCTCACAATGCTGTGGCCAGCTGACTCTCCCATCTGTACCCAGTTTGAAATGTATTGTGCAGTGCAGATTTACACCCTTGAAGAGACCATTGAAAGTTACGAATAAGCAAGCTATAAGTAGCATTAGTAATATGAAGCAGTATTACATTGAATCCAGCTACTGATTATCTAGTGTATGCCCATCTGCTCTGCCAGTTCCCAAAGTCTTAAGGCAAGACTTTGGCTATTTATCCATCAAGGGCTGCATTTAGCTTTAATTACAGTAGTTAGTAATGTAGACAACAGTTCCCAGTGGTGGAGCTCTAATGCAGGTAGGATCTTTCCTTTTCTAATTGTCAACTTGATTTTTCTTTATAGCAGGGGAAAAGGTAAGATCGTGCTTGCAGCTGTCACTTGAAATTTGGTTGAAAAGTGAAGGTTTTCCAATCCTGTCTTAGTAAATAGTATCTGAGATTCTCTATTGGAAGTATTGGGATTTGAACATAAACCTATTATGTTGCTGCTGGAAGGGCATCCAATCTTGCCAGAATGCAGGGCCCTTCTGAATTTGGGAGTTGTTATTTGATTGAAATATCTAGCCATCTTGAATAAAGGTGAGCGACTATCCATCTGATTGCTTCCCAAATCCTTCGCTGTACTTTTACTAGGGTGCAGCACAAATGAGGCAAGCTGGAAAAAACACACATGAAAATCATATATTGAAAACAATCCCCAATGTCCAAGATCTCCCCTTCCTGAGAGCAGTTCAGTCAAATGCTATTCCAATGTTTTGGGAACCTGGTGCCTCAGGCGCTGCTGTAAATTCTTTTCTTTGAAGGCAGGAAGATGACTCGGCTTTGGCAACTCTGGTTCCTGTTAGTGTCCATACTCTCCCAATTCTCACAGCATTCTTTCACATCTCTGGCACTCTTCCCCTCCCAAATACCCCCTTC